ATATATATATATATAAAACAAAAAAAAAAAAAACAACACCGGATCGCATCTAAAGTAGAAGCGGACGCATCAAAGACGGAGCCCACCCTGGAAAATCCTAGAAAAAGTTAGAGAGAAGTCAGAGAAAATATTTTGTAGAGAGAGAATATTTTTAATAGAGAGAGAATATTTTTTATTTATGTGCGGGATTTAGTAACTTTTAGTGTAGGATTTAGCATCCCCCTTTCTTTTATCATCAAGTTCTTAATGGGCTATGCTATTATCAATTATAATGTGATCATGTATTTGGGTCTTCAATGCATGGGCCAAAGAAAGTTGGTCCCGTACATGTAATTTATAGGAACTTGCTTTTTACGGTTTGAAAATTGTTATTTACGGTTTATAATAAAAAACACTTTATAATAAAAAACACTTTATCTCTCTAAAACTCCAAAACCTCCCAAAAACCCCCAAACTGCAAATAGCAAAAAAAAAAAAAAATCGAAATTCAAAAATTTCCAACTTGAACGCCCAAGATGGGCGCCCATGGCGTGTAGGAACGCCCGGAAAGAGCGTTCGTACACGCCTTGGACGCCCACCTTGGGCGTTCCAACATGTTTTTGCGGAAAAAAAAACCCTACAAATCGATTTGTAGGGATTTTTAACATAAAATTAGTTCCGTAATCGACCTACCCAATGCATATTACATATAAAAGAGTCGAAATTACCTCAAAAAATCGAAGCCGAACCCTTCTTCAAGCTTGATTTCGAATTTTCGATTTTTTTTTGGCTACTGCTTCAAATAGCAAAAAAAAAAAAAAAATCGAAATTCGAAAATTTCCAACTTGAACGCCCAAGATGGGCGCCCATGGCATGTAGGAACACCCGGAACGGGCGTTCGTACACGCCTTGGGCGTTCCAACATGTTTTTGCGGGAAAAAAAAAAAACCTACAAATCGATTTATAGGGCTTTTTAACATGAAATTGGTTCCGAAATCGACCTACCAATGCATATTACACATAAAAGAGTCGAAATTACCTCAAAAAATCGAAGCTGAACCCGTCTTCAAGCTTGATTTCGAATTTTCGTTTTTTTTTTTTTTTTTGCTATTTGCAGTTTGGGGGTTTTTGGGTTTTTTTGGGAGGTTTTGGGGTTTTAGAGAGAGAGAGAGTGTTTTTTGTTATGAACCGTAAATAGCAATTTTCAAACCGTAAAAAGCATTTCATAATATAGGAGTATTTATTCGACCGGTAAACTGACCTAACCGAAAACTTAGTACGCTTTAGATACCGAACTGAAATTTTAATTCAGTATTCGGTAATAATTTTTGGAATTTCGGTATTCAGTATGGTATATGGTATTGATGTTCGGTATACAATATTGTAACTAATACCTAAAATTTTAATACATATTTATTTTTCTTTTCTTTTAAATTCTTCAAGATTATACAAAAATTACAAAATATGTTTAGATTGGTATTTTTTCTTATAAAAATTAGTTTCTATTGATAATCACTTTTTTTTAAGGCCAAATATTGAAATTTGATTGTCAAATTCAATATTAATTTGTTTTAATATAATTTTTTATATTTTAAAAATATTAAAATATATTTTCAATTTTACCGGTACCAAACTAAAAAAAAAAAAAACTTATTTAATTCGGTAAAAAACCATACCGAGAGGAATAGTTCAGTTGGTAAACACTATAAATTCTCGAAGTACCAAAATTTGTATTACCGAATGAGTACCCCTAGTAATTTGTATGAAATTCAAGTTTGTCGAATGCAGCATTTTCTAGAGTTCAATTAATTTAAGACTTATTTAAAAAAAAAAAAAAAAAAAAACTAAAAAATAATAATAATAATTTAAAACTTAAATGGGTTTATTGGACACAATGAAGAGTCGCATTCTTTGCTGCTATTACATACAAAGGTATATATAACTTTGACTTGATTACTCATAACGAGTTATCCTTTTCGGAACACGACTTTCTGTGGGGTCATTATTGTTGGTTATATATAAACCGTAAATTATGGTTAAATTACGAAAAACCCTTCATGTTTGAGTAATTACAACCACCTCCCTCAACTTTAAATTATTTTACACGTCCACCCTTAGCTTATGGGGTCACATTCAACATAATCTTCTAGACTTCGTGGAATATTTTCTAGTTTGCAAGAATGGACGTGTAAGAAGATTCTTAGTCGAGGGTAGTTTTAATTACTCAAATATGAGGGACTTTTTCGTAATTTGTCCTTACTTGAGAGGTGGCCGTAATTTACCCTATATATAAAATAATAGTTGATTCATAGAACACCTTATATTTTTCTTTTCAACATGTATTATACTTAACTAGCGTTTTTTCCCCGTGCGATGCACATGATATTATTTCGAAAGTGAATTTTTTTTTAATTTAATACATAATAAGAAAATATAGTACACTAACATAGTAAAATTTAATAACGTAGTATTATTCATATTTTATATAACATTAGTTTTTTTAAATCTTACATATTAAGAATTACAATCCAAATATATAGATTAAGATTTACCTCTTAAATTTGAGACATATTGATGAAAAGAAGGAGATTGATAATTGTTGAAAATTTGTAAAGAAAAAATATTAAAAATAAATAATTACAGAAGTCCCATTAGGGTAGGATTTTTCACGGTTTAGTTTCAATTTTAATAATTATTACAAATGATGGTTATAAATAAGTAGAGAAAAAAAATATTAAAAATAATTAATTACTGAAATACCATTAAATTTTTTTAGGGTTACCCAATGTTTTTTTATATATATATATATATAAGATTTTAGGAAAATTCAAAAATCTATATACTATTATCATAAAATATTATTAAAAAAAATTAATCAGAAGAAAAGTTTTATTATGTGAGACCCACTTAATTAACGGCATTGTCGTGACAAAATCCCAAAATTGAAGAAATTAAGACAAAAGAGTCACATGAAGCAAACATAGAATTAAATGCAGGCTTTGGATGCATATGCAAATGCACATGGCCCCCTCACTATTTACGCTAATGCCATCCCAATTAAGGAATCTAATTATTATAGTGCACATGGCCTTCTTTGCAATAGTTTTTTTATAATTATTTCATGCTAAATAAATAAATAGATATAAGAAAATTTCATTAAGAATGAGAGTGATATGTGATAATGAACTAGAAAACTCTTCAAAAATATTTTGATTTTGCCTTACAAAATGTGTAGCAGGGTGCAAAGTGCCGATAAATTTGTAATTGGTGTGCAAAATCCTATTGTTTCAATTTAAGGATGTAAAGTGCAAAAACATGTGATTCAAGGGTGTAAAGTGTTAATTACCGAAATAAATATTAAATTTTACAACATCAAAGAGTATATTACAACCACCCCTCAAGTAAGGATAAATTACGAAAATCACCTCATGTTTTGGTAATTACAATTTACAACCACCCCCAACAATGAATCTTCTTACACGTCCACCCTTGCGGTGTCAAATTTAGTGGAAATTTCTAGATTATATGCAATATTCTCAAGTTTGTATTCATTTTATCCTATTCGATCTCCATATTTTGAAGCAAGATGATCATAAGCCGTGTTTCTTGGCTTGTAAATATCAGATTGTGGTGCATCAGAAACTGCATTTTTGCACAGAACGAGTACGAACTAGAGAACGTAACATTCCACGGATTCTAGAAATCATGTTGAATTTGACACCATAAGAGTGGACATGTAAGGAGTCTCATAGTCGCGGCGTATTTGTAATTATACAAACATGAAAGGAAAGATTTTTCGTAATTTAACCTTAACTGGGGGTGGCGATTGTAATATATCCTATCAAATTATGGTCAAGAAATAGGTGAGAGACAAGTCATATATCAGCCAATTAGTTTTGCCAAAATTGTAGCAGTACCCCATCATTATAACAAGTATTGCCCATCATCGCCATGTGAAATACCTCAGGAATTAATTAATATTTAATACCAACTCCCTTCAATCCCCAACCAAGTGGGCCCACGTGTCATATTCATTTTATCATATGCAGAAATCGCCCACGTGTCAACCCCACTGGATTTTCGTCCATCACTTACTAATTCTCCACAATTCCTCCTCTTCCAAAACCAATTTGTTCTCTTTTTTTTTTTTTTCCTTTATAATTTTGATATTTTTCGTGCAATTTTTGTAAAAAAATACGAAATCTCTCGCCCTAGGACCCCGTTTACCTGGCCCGATAGGTTCCCGTTAAAGGAATGCGAGTCATCATGACTCAATGGTTCGTTAGAGAGCAAATATGTACATGATATCCATAAGGAATCAACTCTTTATTGAAGTTGAAATTCGTCTGTCCCCCGAGCAACAATTTTTTTATGGAGGAACGCAAATCATAACGATTCAACGGCCTGTTAAGATAAAAGACCTGATTTGATATACACAAGGAACCTAACATCATTGAAGCTGAAATTCGCACATTGTTGTTGTCCGTACACAATCATAAAAGGTGTCTCTTCGCTTGTAAAAATATCATATTGTAGTGCATTAGAAACTACATTTTTGCACAGCAACGAGTACAAGCAAGAAAACATTCCACGAAATCTAGAAAATTAATATGTTGAATTTAATGGCCCCACTAAAACAAACGTGTAAGTACATTCATAGTTGAGAAGTGGTTGTACTTATACAAACAAGATGAATTACTTCCTAATTTGACTTTACTAAAGAGGTATGACCGTAATTATGGAAGTAATTACTCAAAATTAATTATTATCTGAAACAAATGATAGGCAATTAAAAGAATAATTATTTTCATTACAAGGGTTTGATAGCGACACTCGAAACTCTTCCCAAGATTCCACACAGTCAAGATGACAAGGTAAGTTGTACTAGCCTGCCATTCTTCTCTGCACTAAACTGTATTTTAATTTACTAATAATAATAGTAATAATAATAACAACAGAGGATTATATTATAAATAAAATAAATTATTTTATTACTGTTGTTGCTCTGCTTCTCTTTTTACCATGCATATATGCAAAAAATAATATTCTATTTTAATAATTCTTTGTTTTTCTTAACCAGCCGGTCGATTTGAACTTCCATTATTCATTGTTTTCAAGGTTTTATTCTCTCTCCATCTTTCATTTGTTTCTCTCTCTAGAAAAAAACCCAACTCAAGGTACAGTATTAATTACTCTATATTGTCTTCTAATTCATTCATGTTTGGTTTACATATTAATTTATTTCATTCTTGAATTTTTTTTTTCTTGCAGCTGCTAATAATTTATATTTTTGTGATTAAATTCTTGCAGTATAGTATTTTTATTTTATTTTCTTGTTTTTTAAAATTTTTGTTCACTAACTAGGTTATTTGTTTGTGTACTCAAAAAATCACAATGCAGATGTTCATCATGAGATCCAGGGCAAATCAAGATTAGGGCAGTTAATTAATTGATTTGGGGGAAGAAAAAAAAAAGGGGGGGTTGATTAATTTTAATTTTAATTTTAATTTCTTGGTGTACACCTCGAAATTAATTTAGCATGATTAGTTATTTCAGTTAATTCGTAGTAGATTTGAAAAGATGAGATCCATAGAGGATAAAGGGTGTTTGAATAACACAACCACCACCACCACCACCGCCGCACAGGAGAATATTCCGGCAAGTGGCGGCGGCGGTGGCACTAGTTGTATGAGTTTCGAGTTCCACAAGAGCAGCAACAACGGCCTAAACCGAACCGCCTCCTCCCACCACCGGACCGCCCTAGGAAAGCAGCCCACTCCGTCGAAATGGGACGACGCCCAGAAATGGCTGGTGAATCTCTCGAGGGGGGAAAGGAATATTCCGGCGAAAGCCTCCCCTCGAAACTCCAACGCCGACGACCGGAGGCTCATCGCTCCGGTCCCCGACGAAGGGGTAAATGTGGAAACCAAGAATGTCGACATCGACGAGTCGGTTTGGAAGATCAATTATAAGCCCGCGAATAATAAAAACAGCACTTCTAAATCGGCGGTTAGATCGGTATGCGTGAGGGATATGGGAACCGAAATGACCCCCATCGCGAGTCTAGAACCTTCTAGAACGGCCACTCCGATTAGGGCTACGACTCCAGCTGTCCGAAGCCCTGTTTCGTCGGGGGCCTCCACCCCCGCTAGGTGTACGAATGGGGCGGGGGTGGTGGGCCCCGAGAGTGGTCAATTAAGTATTCCGAAATCGAGCGAGAGGAGAGGTGAGGTAGTAATTGGGAAGGGTAGTGGAGAAGAGTTTCGCGGTGAATTAAATACGGTTGAGATTAAGAGCGACGATTATCAATCGAGTAAGATGAATCCGCTCGAAATTCGAGCTGTTGCTTGGGATGAAGCCGAGCGTGCCAAATATATGGCGAGGTGGTTTATTTTTTTTTCGTAAATTTATTTATTAAGAAGACTACTACAAATTTGTTACTAAGAAAATGAAAAAAATTGCGTATTTTTTCGGATGTATAGGTACAAACGCGAAGAAGTGAAGATTCAAGCTTGGGAGAATCATCAGAAACGGAAAGCTGAAATGGAGATGCGAAAGATAGAGGTACATTGCTCGGTTATTTCTTATGCGTAAAATTGGAATTATGACCGATCTTAATTTATTTATTTTTATGGAAAAAAGTAAAATAAAAAATCGGACGAATCTTGAAAGTGATTGAATTATGCATTGTGCATTTGTTCAATGGCAAAAATCAATTGTTGGCAGTTAGCATTACTAAATGCCGTAGATAAAACGACGAATATTTCAATGACAGTTATGCCCTTGTGTTCGTAATGTGTTTTTCGACCCCTGATTTTTTATACACGCGTTTACGGTATATTAGGTGAAAGCGGAAAGGCTAAAATCGAGAGCACAGGAGAAGTACACGAACAAGATAGCATCGACACGAAGAATAGCAGAAGAGAAACGAGCAAACGCAGAGGCTAAACTAAACGAGAAAGCTGTCAAGACTTCTCAAAGAGCGGATTATATACGAAGAACCGGTCATCTTCCGTCTTCTTTCTCGTTTTATAAGTTGCCTTCATTTTGCTGGTAGCAATTTTTATTTATTTATTTTTGTACATTTTGCCAATTTTATGTGTACTTATACATTTTTAATTATTATCTCAATTCCACTTTATATATATGTTTTGTCTCTAACTCTCTATAGTTTTTGTTCAAGGAGAAAAAACTGAAATGTTTATTAAAAATAATTAAAATCTAATTTAATCTATTTCATTTCTAGCCTAAAAATAATTAATTATAACATAAAGATTATTATTATACATATAAATATGTCTAAAAATTAACTTTCGGTGTAGTACCACATTACCGAATTTGGAAATTTTAAAACCGAATACAGAACGTCAGAACCTAATTATTACCGGTTCAGTATTCGGTATGTGTCAAATTTTCGGTTCGGTCGATTCTCTGAACCAATGAACACTCGGACATGTAATACGAAAGAAATAATTGTGACCAATAGTCAGACTGAATATTGTCAAATAATTTGTCTTAGTTAACTTATGTTGAGCCAACCAATTTATTTGATTTGATTTGGAGAACTGGTTTGTTTTAGTTGGCATTCATGCCAGTGGCACATTGATTAATGTTTTGGATAAATTACGAAAATCCCCCTGAACTTAGGCTAAATAATGAAAAACATCTTCACCAATTTGTAGAACCAAAATTCTCCTTTGATTAACCGTTGATCGAGTATTTTAACATAAAATGTGTACATTCTATTATACATTTTGTTAAATGGGTGAGAAATAAAAGAAAATATCTGAAATTGTGTAAAGTTTATTCAATAGAATCAAAAAAAATATGTGAAAAGTCACATTGTAAGGGGTTGCTGTAAAATGGAAACAAACCTCAGGGGGTTTTTGGTAATTACAAATAAGTGGGGATGGTTTTTGTAATTTAATCTAAATTTAGGGGTTTTCGTAATATACCGTAATGTTTCCGAACCGGAACCCGAACCCGAACCTAAACAGCGGATACATGATTTCCATCTCTTAATTCTCGATTACAGAAAAACCCCTACAAACAACGATGTGGTCTGTTCTACGCGCCGGAGCTCTCTCATCTTCGTCTTCCCACATCACTAACCAGTTCAGAAACCTCTCATCTTCTTCATCGATCGTCGCTCGCGGTTTCTCCTCTTCCGCCATTGATGGAGACGATAGCAACACCATTACGAAGGAAAGCGAGATGCTGAGTCTGTCGGAAGTTCAGAAAATCCTCGCCGATGTCGGCGCCGACGACGTCAAAGTTATCCCGGCTCCCACTCGCTGCGAGTTCACCGATTACATGGTCATCGCCACCGGCCGATCTCCCTGGCACGTGCGCAATATCTCTCAAGCCCTAGTTTGGCAAGTAGGTTCATTTTCAATTTTCCCCCAATTAAAACCTCAGTTGTTTTGTCTTTGTGTTTGTGTACGTGCGCTTATGATTTAATCGCAACTGCGTTGTAAAGATTGGATTTTTAAGCACAAACTTAACCCTAGGAAGGATTACAAAAACAATTGTTTGGCATAATACATTTTTTTTTTTTTTTTGTTTTTTGATTAAATACTTTAGAATTGAATTAATCAATATACTCGTTTACTTAGAAATATTAGGGATTGAAACTAATTTGATCTCAAGAAAATCAATTATTTGGTAAACTTGTATTCGACTTCTAAAGACTAGTGTATCGGTATCAATCTGATTTCGCAGTTGTAGTTGTTACCCCTTACGATACTTTTAGCGGTTGTTTTTAATGGTTGATTAGTATTGTTTCTCAAACTTGTTGATCCCTCTGCCGTTTTTCCACAACCAACTGTGCAACAATGTTGGAATTTGGATAGATTATTAACCTTAAATTTTACATTTTTATACGTCGTTTTCCAGCTCTTCGTATTTTCCTTAATCGGTCATTATAAAAGTCCTTTATCTTGTAATTCTTGGTTTATGAAAGCAAGAAATAAAACTATGCATGTCAATATATGCTTATGTAGCCTAAAGAGAAAAAATCGGTTTGACATCGACACGTTCTTCAATCAAATGAGCAGGTTAAGCAGAAGCAGAGAGGAGCAAAAAGGATGTTGCTGCCTACTGTGGTGGGGGAAGAGGGAGGGAAGTGGATTGTCGTCGACTCTGGTATACTTTCCCCTTTTCTGCTATTTTTTTTTAATTATAAAACATGTCTCCTTTAATTTGCTCGTTTTAGCCCGACCACAATATGCTCGTTTTATCTGTTGTATTTACTGTCAAGGACTCACTTCGAACGTGTTCAAATTAAGTTGGGTAAACTTTTTCATGCATGTAATTATACTGAGGCCATTTTAGTCAAGAGCCGTGTAAAATGTTTTGAGCTTTACATTTTGCACCAAGGAAATCACTCGCATTCGTCGGTAAAGGAATTTCTATTAACCCAATGACAATAGAAGTTGTGTTGATATATAAATCTGCTCGAAACGGCAAAAAGACTATAGTCCTAAATACGAAAAGAAAAGGGAAAAGAAAGATATTTAGAGCTTAGTTGTGCAACTGCAAAATACAAATTGCATTTTATACTGTAGAAAATCGGTAATCTTGGTGAATTATCCCAAAAAGAAGAAACAATTGAACCAGCACAAGATAGATCAAACAGACACATTTTTTTTACAGCATGAATTTAAAACCCTACATACGACACGCACATGAACATTTCGGCAAAATATAAAAGTCGAGAATTATTTCAGGTCCGCTGATCATTCACGCTGTAGATGAAAAGGCGAGAGCTTATTACAACTTTGAGGGTCTTTGGAATAAGAACACATCGGACACAGAAGAAATTCCGGTAAACTCCCTGTTTATGTCAATCAATGCAAATATCGAATAAAATTTGAACGTCACTTGTTTTGTCTACTCGAGGTGTCATAAATTGAACGGGAAGTGTTTGAAACATATGCAGGATTTCGCGAAGGCATTCGTCAAGGTTCGTCGGAAGAATAACTCCAAGAAACGACCACAGGCACAACGATAGGTTTAGAGGCTTCACTTAATAGAGACATTATTCTTCACTCCAATAAATTTACGTAGAGCCATTGGATTTGGAGGATCGGGTTTTAGTGGTTTCCATTGATTTATGTTTTGGTTAAAAGTTTGCTGAATTGAAAACATTATTGAGTAACGCTAAATCTTTCCGTAACCGGTAGAATGTTCGATGCTTGAGCTGGTTTTTTCATGTCTGATAAGATGGTTATTAGCTAGAATAAATGATTGAAGAGAAATCTTCCATTTTTGTTTTCTTTTTTAAATATATTTAATCATGGTGATTTGAAGTTTGAACAAATACATCTCTCTTTGGAAGGAAACACTAATGAAAATTAGAAATAGCACACGAAGGATACAGGAAAAAAAAAATATAAACTTAATTCTCAAAGTATGAAATTGATCATTAAATAAATAAGGGTGAATTACAACGACCCCTGAGGTATGATTAATTTACAAAAAAAAAAACCCTCTTGTTTGGATAGTTACATCGATCCCTTCAATTATGATTTTTTCTTACACCTCCACACTTATGGTGTCAAATTTAACATAAGCATCTAAATTTCGTGGAATGTGCTCTAGTTTGTACTTGTTTTGTGTAAAAATACAGTTTCTGATGCACCGGAATCTGATATATACAAGCCAAAAAACACATATTGTGATCATCTTGCTTCAAAATGTAGAGTTCAAATGGGATAAAACGGGTACAAAAGTGATAATATTCTATATAATTTAGAAGATTCCACTAAATTTGAAACTGCAAGGATGGACGTGTAAGAAAATTTATAGTTCAGGGGTGGTCGTAATTATTATCCAAACATGAGGGTGATTTTCGTAATTCGATTGTACCTTAGGGGTGGTTGTAATTTACCCTTAAATAAATGAGCAAAGAAGAATTAAAGAAAATAGGTTGGAAAATAGAAGATACAAATAGTAATAATAAATGAAAAGTCATAGAGATAAAAGATTATGATTGTGCTAGTCGAGATTTGATGTTAAAGTAATTAGACAAAAATGGCTGCAAAATAGAAGTAATATACATACATACACACATAATTTTTTTTGACAAATATGTTATTAGAATTTTTTAGGTTGCTGTATCTTTCTTTTATATGCAAAATAGAAGATTTTTTTTTTACAAATTTGTCATTTCGATTTCTTGGTTGTTCTAACATTTCTTTATTTTATATATAAACTTATAGATATATAAATAGGTATATAGATTAATGGGGGTTTTGTGTATAAGTCCATAACCAAACATTTTATTATTCTAGGTTTAGGGATTATATATTTTTCACCAATAATCCCATCCCTTTAATATTTATTATAAATAAAGGAGAAATTTCTGTATATGCCAATATTTCCCCCAACTCTTTACACCCAATTATTAATTGTAACCCCAATTTAATCAATTTTAACTACAAAAATCCAATTTTGACTTTTTTTTAAAAAATATATATATTTTTGCCGCCGGATTCCAGCGTTGACTTTTTTTTTTTTTTTTTTTACGTCCGCCGCTAAATGTTGACCGTAATTGTGCTGTCATTAATGGTAATTATACTGTCACTGACAGTAAATTAACGTAATTCTACAGTCACTGACAGGAAATTAATGTAATTATACTGTCACTGACAGTACATTAACGTAATTGTACTGCCGGTGGCGGAAAAATCAGGAAGAAAAAAAAATGTTGACGCTGGAGACCGGCGGAAAAATCAGGAAGAAGAAAAAAAGAAGTCAACGCCAGAGACCGACGGTCAACAGCGTTGACGGACAAAATTGTCCATAAAAATGTGTTTTGAGTCAAAATTGAATAATTTGTGAAATTTGGGGCCAAATTGATGTTAGATTAAATTTAATGATGAAATTGGAACATATTAAAAGTATAACGGGCTATTTTAGTCTTTTACGAACCTTTGGACCACGTGTGAACTTTTTTGTGAAATAGTTTAGGGATTATTTTGTAGACCCCCTCATTTTCAAATTATATAGAACTAACTACCAAGTGGATTACACTCTAGGGGAAACCCCCCTCATTTCGAAAATATTTTGACATACCCTGGGCTACCCTGAAGTTCCTATAATACCCTTCTAAAATCAGTTTTAAACCCTAGCCACTCACGGTCTCTCTCTTCTTCTTCCAGATTCAAAATCCCGCCTCCACAAGCCTCCCACTGCGAAATTGCTTTTCGGAGCCACAACTCTCTCTCTGGTGGTCGTAATTCGATGGTTTAACTACCGTTGGATTCCTCTCGTTGAGCTCTTTCTTTTGATGGTGATTTCATTCAGTTTCGAGCGCTGATCTGTTTCTGCAATTTTTTTTCATTCGAGGACGGTGGTCTTGCCGGAGCTTTATTTTGTGTTCCACCCGTCGAAATTTGACGGGTCACCCACCGTTGGATTCCTCTCGTCGGGATCTATATTTTGATGGTAATTTTATTTATTTTTATATTTTCAGATTTATTACTATATTTTTTTGCATTTGTGGGCGCGCGGAACCGTGGGTGGTTATTAGCGATGTCTAGGGTTTTGGTAGGAGGCGAGGGGGTGATGAGTCACTGTCTGTTTGATTTAAAATCTGTAGCATTTCCCAGCAATAACCTCTCTCTCTATCCTTCGATCTCTTAGTGTTTGTTGATTTTTGAGTGTTTTGATGTTTTTTCTTCAAATTTTGTTGATTTGCACTAAAGTAATTTTTTTTTGTTTTGATTTTGCAATTGTAGCTTAATGAAGGCCATTGATCATTTCCTTGAAGGTGTCAATTTTTTTTTTGAAGTTACATCTGATTTGTTCAACAGACTGTGTACATTACTGTACATTACTATACATTACTATAGTAACATGTAGTTACATATGCGTATATTTGTGTATTTTCGATTTGTATTTTATTGGTTCTGATGGTATTTATAATAAAAATATTGAAATTTGTAAATTTTTGTTGGGGTTTTATGAATTTATTTTGTATAAGTCAGTATTCGTGTGTGTATACAATTGATCGACTAAAAACATGGGAAAAAAAACCGAACATAACTATGAATTACTATAGGTACTATAGTTACATGTAGTTATTTTCAGTACTGTAAACATATTGTTTTGAAAATTAAAAAAGAAAAATAAAAAAGAATATTTTTTTTAATTTAAAAAAAAATTAAAAAATTAAAAAAATTAAAAATATATATATATATATATTTAACAAACATGTTTATAAAAAAAAAAAGAAAAAAAAGAAAATAATAATAAATAAATCAGCGAAAATGATAAATGCAGGACCATATATGCTGATGCAGTTTTGCCGAAAATTGCATATAAGTGTAGTATAGTACTTTCGCTTATCTAGGGATATGTCAAAAGATGATTTGGGCTTGGGTTTATCCCTAGTTTATTTGGTGGCTAGGGGTATGTAAAATAACTCCAATAGTTTAGGGGTTGTCTAGGGTCCGAGAGGGTCTGTACTACTCGGACCCAAACGATTGAATATCAACCAATAAAAATGTGACACGTATGATTTGTACGAGCCCCATAAAAAAAAGTACGATACCTACCTTATACGTGAAATTACATAAATATCCCTATAACTAAAACTTAAGTAATAATTAATAATAATTAATAATTAAGATGTAATTACAACAGTAAAGACGTAACATAATTTAATTCTTCTTCTTCCTTAATTCTTCTGTGTTTTTGAACCCTAATTATCGACAGAGAGAACGTTTTTCTTTTTCATCTTCTGACGATCCCGCCATAGCCGTCAAGCACTGTGCTCAGATTTCTCCTCTCCAGCCGATTGTAAGTTATTTAATTTTAGTTCCAACAGATTTAGATTATTCTTCTTTTAATTTCTCCTGCAGCCAAAAAAAAAGAGAGAGAGAGAGAGAGAGAAGCCCTAGCTGTTCTTTAATTTTCTATTAGTTATGTGTACTGAAATATTACAAATTCAGTTAATTATGTTCTTTTTTGTCCGAATGGTGCAACATAAAAAACTAAATCTTGATTGTATGATGTGTGGCCATGGAGATGTATGTAACAGTATAATTTGATGTGATACACTCATTTGTTTTCACCTCAGTTTTTTCATATGCAGTCCTTTTCAAGCTGTCTGCTGCTTCATTGCATAATAAAAGAACCTCCCCTGCATCCTGTTGCCATTATTATTTAATTTCTTTTATTTTTTTAATCCAGCCAAAAAAACTGAAATTAGAATTAAAATTAAAATTCATTGCACTATCTATACCAGTAAACATTATGGGGTCACTTGAATTTTCAATTGTTTTGATGAATGTTCGTCGTTTTGTTGCGTTCTTTATTTCTTTATTTGTCGGGTTCATATCGGTTAATAACCCCCATGCTTGTTGCTTTATAGGACCATAATATGTGGTTGTGTATTGTTTTATACAGCTAATATCTTCTGCATTATATAATTATATTTGTTTTCATTCCCTCTCTGCAACTATTTCGATTCCTCAAAGTTCATTTTTTGTTTCTCGATCCCTCTTTGGTGGTTGTTCTTTGTTTTCGAGGCTACACACCTTCGGTAAATTGTTTGACTGATTTTGATCTTCAATGTTTGACTCAATTTCTCGTCTGCATATTTTTCTTAATTAAATTCAATTTATATATCCATGTCTTGTATGATGCTTCGAAGAAATTTTTCTTCAATGTTGGAGACCCTAAAACAGATAAGCCTGTGAAATTCTCCTCCGCCATGTCCCTCCTTCTCCGCTCCCTTCCGGCGGTCGCCCTCTGCGCCAAATCCTCAATTCCGCTGCGTCTTCCTCTCCTCTTCCTCACCTTCCGCCGCCTTAATTCGAATCCACCTAAACTCCTCCACAAACGCGCCTTCTCCTCCATTTACGCTTCCGCTTCCCCTTCTGAAACTCTCAGCGTCCCCACTCCCAAGCAGCCATTCCCTCCTTCTGCCGAAGAACTCGAATGGGTGAATCGAACCGCTCTCTGCGGCGAATTGTCGGAACAATTTGCTGATGCTTCGAAGAAATTTTCTGAACATGTTGGAGACCCTCCTTTAGGTTGTAATGTGAATGATCCTGGACGAATAAAGACTGGAGGTGCAAAAACGTGCTAAGCAACAGAATTGTAGTTTTTGTCGGTAAGTGCTCATTCTATTTTGTAAAGACAAATTTCCGACTTAAATTTAATTAAATATTTCAATTAGTACTTATGATTTCTTTTATGGTGTTTTTTGCAAGGGAGCATGGTCATAAAACTACCACGTATATTAGAAATCCCGCCAACATTGATCGACGTACAAATGTTTGTGCCAAGAAATCAAGAAATAGAGTGGAAACTAGTAGTACTCAATATGACTGTAGTCAGAATTCAATAGGATCGTGTCTATAGATGGATGGTTATGGTGACCACGGAATAATTTTGATTAATATTATCCTTGGATTTTTGGTTTTACTTGCGGTTTTGGCATATATTTTGTTAAAGATTTTGTGGTTAAATTTGCTGGCGGTTTTGCATATATTTTGTTAAAGATTTTGTGGTTAAATTTACTGGCGGTTTTGGCATTTATCCTTGGATTATGATTTATTTTGCTAAATTTTGTATGTATCTATTTTGTTGTAAAAAAATTCGCACAAAATAATTTGGTTGAAAATTAATCTAATTAAGGATTATGATTACAAAAGTTTTAGTAAATTGCAACTTACCCCAAATTATTGTTTTTGAAATTACCGTTAATCTCCTACTTTTTATTATTGTTGAATTGGTCGAGGGTCCAGTTGGAATAAAGCTAAAATCTGATTTGAGGTTTCTCAAAGTTTCGAATTTTAAAATTTAGTCCCAACTTTCAAAGTTTATTTTTGACTAAATATACAATTTCAGAAATTACATATTTACCGATTAATCAAGATTTTCTACATTCCAAAATTATTTCCTTTCAAGTATTAAAGTTTATGGATTTGGGCAAGGGGCAATTTTTTTTTTCTATCGTTGAACCTGGTTCTAACAAATTTTTAGCTCACCTATTTAATGTTCTTGATGACATTGCTATCAGAAACAGAAAAAAACCTATCACTACAAAAATAAAAAGATAAAAATATAACTCTCCAGGCCGTAAGAACTCATTAAGACCCACAATCCATCACTATAAAAATCATTTAAATCAATAAAATCAAAACATACATATCCCCAAAGTTCGTCGGATTCAAATTTATCCTGAACCAAAACCCAAATTCAATAAAAAAAAGAAAAAATTCAGTCTCTAAAATCACCTGCAATTAATCATAAACGAAAGAGAAAGAAAAATACGGAGGACCACAAAATATGTTAAAAGCTAACAAGAGTAACTGTTCCCAAGACAAACGAGCTCCAAGATTAACTACGCACGAAGATGAAAAGCTAAAACTCCATAACACCTATCAAAGCACAAAAAAACAATGAATTAGCCCAACCAATATACCTCGAAAGAACAACTACACTGCAATACAAAACGCAATACATAGATAACAAATGCATTAATATCATACTTACCATTATCGAGAATCTATATCAAGCATAAAAGTTCCTATCTCGGCGAAGCGAACATATTGTAATTGCTTTTGTATAGATTAATGGCAATTTGTTGTCGGAAGATATCAGATTGCTCCTAATAGGCAATAGATTCATTAGGCCACAATTAAAATGAGCATATATGTAGAAATTAAATTAAGAAGTTATCTAATTAAAAAAAATTACTTCTGACAGCTCAAATGCCCCCATCTCAAACATCATCATCATGCAAACATATACTCCACAATCGAACCTATCATATTATGCATACTGATTAATGGTGATAAATAAATTACAGAATATCTTAATACATTTATAAATATGAATAGAAATACCCATTTGGTTGTAAAGGAACCCAATCTGGATCCATATAATAGAACTTATTCGTATATTCCATTAATACTATATACAACAGAAATGGATCAAATTGTAGTTCAAACTAGTGTTTCAAAGGAACTCCAATTCATTAGTCATAAGAATATCATACCCCATAAATCGAGCTCTAGATCCCTAGCTTAGAAACAGTCCCAGTCCTCAAAAGTAAACAAAGTCTACGAAATTCCAAATTCATACATCAACTACAGATACGGAATTCTAGTTCCAGACTTTCAATTCAAAGAACAATAATTAAAATAACCAGAAGCCTAAAATTGTGAAAGCACATTTTTTATCAACAAAAAAAAAAAACCCACCTATATAGAGCTCTGAATCTTTTTGCATTAATTTTTACCATTTTAGAGTTCCATTAATCCACTGAACCTAATGTGATTTGACAAAGAAACTAGACATTAACACGACAACGAAATTTGCAGCTCTGCTGTTTATAAAGTTCCCAAAAAAAAAAAACAGAAAACTCATCACCAGAAACTATAAAGAAAGCAATTTACTGTGAAAACAAAAGAAATAAATATTTAACAAGAATTTCAGTGATACCTTTGCGGAAGTCTTCGATTTCTCCGGTAGTGATTCGAAGAGACGATTCACAATAAAAAGTACGAAATCTAAATGTATATCGCTTTTTAATCGGTTATGAATCCCGAGCCGCATTGAATAACCCAATAATTCCATCTATCATCCACCAATCCGAACCAGTCTCTTGGCCATCGGAGAAGATTGAGAGTCGGGGCGAAACGATGAACACTTACAGTAATTTTCTCGAAATTTTTTCTCGAAACAATGAAGATTGAGAGTCGGGGCAAACGATGAGCCAGTCTCTTGGCCACCAGTAATTTTCTCGAAGAATTGTGTTGGATAAGAAATGCATATGAATTGGTAATTAGGGCTGAGATTTTGACTTTTGAGAAAAAAAAATTAACAGCTTCAATTCTTTTACGTTTTAATATATTATTGATATTTTTAATTATCTAGTTTAATTACGTAAGGCTAATATAGTAATTTTACATGAAGTACGATGGAGTACGATGAAGTACGATATGTGTACGATCTAATTTTACTGGGTTCGTACTTTAATTAATAAATACCTAGGTTTGTACTGAGTCATACTTGGATCGTACTTTAAATCAGCGGTTATAATTATTTGTTTAATATTTTCAACGCACCAGATTTATTCGTTTGGGTCCGAGTAGTACAGACCCTCTCGGACCCTAGACAACCCCAATAGTTTATTGTCTAAATTTCTTTATGAATAAGTACACCTTGATGGGCTTATTTGTAAAGCGCATATGGTAATTAAAGGGTTCTAATTATGCAAATTGATGGAATATATAGAGTAGAGAAGATACTCATCAATAATACTGACAAATAAAATCAATATAAAAGAATCTATTGGGTGATTTCCCAATTACGCTATTTCCGTGAAATCCATTCTCATTCATCGCTATCTACCGCCTCTCTTTCTCTCTCTAGAATCACCGTCGCCGCTTTCCGATTTCCCTTTTATCTACGACTCCCTCCGATTATTTTCACCGGTAAGACCTTCGATTTCTGAACTGTTGCACGCGAAAGCGCGAGAAAAAAAGGCAAGATACCACCACACCCGTGTTATCTTATACGATTTTTCAATATTCTGTCGATTTTTTGATTTGATTTGATTTTTAGTTTTATGATTTTTTGGGGTTGGGAATAGAATTGAAGCTTTTGATTTTTCTTCTGAATTTGGTGTTGTACCAGATTCGTATCTGAATTCCGATACCAAAAGCCAATTAAAAAAGGATTTTGCTTTGTTAAATTAGGGTTTTCTGTGTGATTTGAAAAAAAAGGTTGATTATTTGTGTGGGGATTAATCGAGTCTGGGGAATTAAGGTTAAGCTTCCAATAAAAACCTAGTTTTAGAAGAGTTCCGTCGGATTAAATTAATGGCCGCTGGAAGGCATGGGGGTTATAGGGACCTCGAATTGAGAGACCGTGAGGCTGATTTTGTGATCCCGAGGAAGGAAATTGGGTATTTGAAAGGAGACTATGATCGGATTAGGAAAGGGGATAGGGAGTACGAGAGGAGTCGAGGCCGGGGTAGAGGTAGTCTTGATTACAGGAGTAGGGTAAGACAGAAGGAAATTAAAGAAAGGGAGGTGATGAATGGTGGATATCGCTCTACGTCTAGTAAGAGTGAGCCTCAAAGGCGTGGGCTTGCAGTTCCCCCCATGGATCGAGAGCCTGGGGAGCTTTCTAGTGATGGGTCTGATGGCCCTATAGAGGGGAACCATGTTATTAAAGAGACTGAGGTAAAAAGGTTAGAAAACGGGAGTCGTTTGTCTCCCGTGCAGAACAAGAAAAGGAAGTTTTCACCTATTGTTTGGGATAGAGACGATAGGGTTGCTAGCCGAACAGTTAAAAGTAGGAATTCCTTGGAAACTACAAGTCCGCCACCATCATCTCCACCTCCTTTGCCTGAATCACGCCAAGAGTTTCCTGACACTAATTCTATTCTGGATTCCGATGTAAAAACCTCGCTGGCAGATGCTAGCGAGGTTTATATTTCTGAACCATCGCCTTCTAAAATTGATTTGTTACCTGATTTGTCAGAATTGCCCGCAGAAACATCTTCTCTGCTGCATCAAGAAGACCCCTGGGTCAATAACCAGGAAACAGGGGAAATTGATGATGACGATGATTATGTGCCAGCACGAACTATAATATCTTCTCGCTGGGCGAATGATGCTGACTGGCCAACTGACGAAGCTGAGATTTCTGGAGACAAACGGAAGTTGAAGAGGAAGGCTGGTTCTGAGTTGGCTGAAGTAAGAGAATTTAGGAAATTAGAAAGTCCTGAGCTTGGGGAAGTCAAAAGAGAAGGTTCTGAAGGAATTAGGGGTAGATCCTCTGGGTCTGATGAACGTGTCAGATCATCCAGTAGAGATGGTCACCATGAAAATGATGACAAGAGCGACTATATGCTGTTAGATGATGATCAAACTAATGATGGTACTCTTGTTAGCCATTCTGACACAGAATCCGATGACGATTCTGGTTCTCGCGGTCCACCAGAACTCGCCCACCCACCGCCAAGGAGTGTCAATATGCTTAAGGGTTGCAGAAGTGTTGATGAGTTCGAGAGAATCAACAGGATAGATGAAGGTACATATGGGGTTGTTTATAGGGCCAAGGATAAGAAGACGGGAGAAATTGTGGCTTTGAAGAAGGTCAAGATGGAGAAAGAGAGGGAAGGGTTTCCTCTGACTTCTCTCAGGGAAATGAACATCCTTCTATCTTTTCATCACCCCTCCATTGTAGATGTTAAAGAAGTAGTGGTAGGGAGGGATCTCAATAGTATTTTCATGGTTATGGAGTACATGGAGCATGATCTCAAAGGATTGATGGAGGCAATGGAACAGCCGTTTAGTCAAAGTGAAGTTAAATGTCTTATGCTCCAGCTCTTAGAGGGGATCAAGTATCTTCATGACAACTGGGTATTGCATCGAGATCTAAAAACTTCAAATTTGCTTTTAAATAACCGTGGCGAGTTAAAGATCTGTGACTTCGGTCTGTCTCGTCAATATGGAAGCCCCCTAAAACCATATACTCAGTTGGTAGTTACTCTGTGGTACAGGTGAGCATCTCTCCATGCTCATGTTTTGTTTTTGTTTTGGTGTTTAAGCACACATTCATGTGTCATGTTGCTATACATGCATACATATAAAGAATCACATGCCTGTACCTATATTAGTTCAACTAATTTGGTGTCAGATAGCTCCTATCTTAGCAAAAAAAATTCTTTTTTTAATCATCACGTGTTATGGCCTGCTTTCACGCCATTGTAACTATTGTAAATTGGTATTTCGTGTTAATTTCTTTGTTATTTTCCAGCCATCAAGTCCTTATATAGTTTTTATCAAATAACAGAAGAGCTGTGTTTCAAAGTGAAGGTTGTTATTATATTGTTTTTAACGCTCAGTAGTCTACCCTGGGCTTGTTGATTGTTAAAGCACTTCATTTGTATTGCATTCTGAGTTTCACTTTGTTTAGAATGTAAAGTAAATGCTAAATAGTTACATCAACTTTCAGGTCACCAGAACTTCTTTTGGGAGGCAAAGAGTATTCTACAGCGATTGATATGTGGTCACTGGGATGCATTATGGCTGAGTTTTTATCAAAAGAACCTTTATTTAATGGGAAAACAGAAGTTGAACAGCTTGACAAGGTGAATGTTTCTTGCTTCATAGTTATCTTTGTTATAATATTTTGATATTTTAAACCAATTTGGATTATTTGGTCTAATTACATTACTTTGACGGTTATACTGCAGATTTTCAAGATTCTTGGCACTCCAAATGAGACTATCTGGCCTGGGCTCTCTAAACTCTCCGGTTCCAAGGTGAACTTCGTCAAGCATAAGTAAGTAATCATATCTTGTCTTTTCAATTCCTTCAAAGTTGGCATCCAAATTCATGTTCTCTTCTTTTGCCACTGTTTTCCCAGGCTTCCAGCTTTGGGTGATTCTGGTCTGGTTTCTTGCCTCCATTAACGACAGTGTCAGTTTCCTACGACATTTTGCTGCTTCTAATGGATGGCATATTTTTTCAGGTACAACCTTTTGCGCAAGAAATTTCCGGCAACTTCTTTTCATGGGTCACCTGTACTATCTGAGGCTGGATTCGACCTGTTGAACAAGCTTCTAACATATGACCCCGACAAGGTATTCTTACAGACAGTTGCATACATTTATTTAATTGCTTCAAATGATTGAATTTTCCTGTTATTGAGTATCTAATTAAGAAAATTGGAAACTTTGCAGCGGATAACTGCTGAAGCGGCTCTCAGACATGAATGGTTCCGTGAAGTTCCCTTACCAAAGTCTAAGGAATTCATGCCTACTTTTCCTGCTCAGCATGGACAAGACAGGTAGTTGCCTGGACCAAACGAGTTTTCCGGGTCATATGGTGTCAGAGTTCATCGTATTAATGTTTAATGTTTTCTATGTCAGGCGTATAAGGAGAGTAAGGAAGAGTCCTGATCCATTAGAAGAGCAGAGGAGGAAGGAATTACAACAAGGAGAACTAGGCACTGGTGGTTTATTTGGCCAGTAGTGTTCAAACTCTGTATTCTTCTATGGATTGAGGTGAGAGCTATGGGGAGAAAGGGAGTTGAAAACATTGTTTGTTCGACAATCATTCCTGCTGTGTTTTTTTTTTTTAATCGGGCACCTCTGCTATGTGGACAAACATTATTGTCCTGTATTTGCGATGGTGTAGGTCTGCTTTTTCTTTCTGTAGTGCATTTTTATGCTTCTTACCTGGAATGTTGTGCATCAGGCACTTACGGTCAACGATTTTTTATCTACTTAATCTTGTACATGTAACATATTTCCTATCAGTCCCTATGAACATTTTTATTCTAGAAATTGATTTTGTGTACCAATATAGTATGGTTTACTCTTATGCTCTTAGTGTTATCACTTTTGATTCTTATGTTATGTTTGCAAGCGATGGTGATGTGAAGTGGAGGGAGCATTCTTAGCAATTCATTAATGGATAGTTTGACGAAAAAGTATAGCATGCCTGGAGGTAAATACTAAAGCTGATTACATACATGGATGTAACCGAGGATCATTATGCCAACTAAAATCATCCTGGCCTTTTAGATCTATAAATTACGCAGACCTTTTGTGGATGTTTTGTATATGTTATCTTTTATTATTCATTGAACAAGCTCTGGAGCTGCAATCAATTCCGATGAGAAAAAAATGACCTCTTTACTCATTCACTTTAGTAATATGTTAACGCAGACATCATAATGTCGAAATGTGAGTCTTGATGATTCTTAAGCTAGACTTGTGAGTTAGTAAGTGGCTTAGAATTTTCTTAAAATTTACCCTTTGTTCAATATTTTTTTACTGGAGAACATACATGAATGCTGTTTGCAATTGAATAGTTTGAGCTGTATGAAGTGTTATATGTAATTTTGAATGTCAGTGAAACAATCTGGAAATGTATGTTGGTTCGAGCAGTGCAAGATCTGGCACGGTACAATTGTTAGTATCCATTCTTTATTATTTCTCGATCATACTTTATTCTCTATAAGCCTTCCTTAAAGAAAGCTGGATTATTGAGCTTGTATGTTTGCTTGGCTGTTGTCAATCTTTCCCATCCTGTAACATAAACAGTGAGGCAATGATTTTAAACATTTATGACATTCGTGTGAAATGTCACTGCAGTATCCGAGCAAGCAGGTAGAGGAGCTCACTTAGACAAGTCAGCCCTTATAAAATCCAAATTATTTTCCCGTTCTACGCTTTTGTCTGCCAAAGTTATAGAGGTACACTTCAGCCTCTTTTGTACTGTTTAATGAATTTCCATGTACTATCTTCGCTTGATTGGTGGTATGTTTGTCATTATGTCTTACCATTTACCACAGGAATTTGTAAATAACATATATAACATGTGTTGTCATGCTCCTTTGACAATAGAGGTTCCTGCATAATGTTCTTTACACTTACACTGCTGATTCAGTATGCTTCGTTACCTGTTATATGTGTTGACTTTGAAAATTCATTATATTTAGAACGGACATTCAGTTGCAGATGTATTGAATTCAAACTGCGTAATATGTAACTGCTACCGTATGTATTTTTTTTTTGTTCTACTGCATTACTGAACTACAGGAGCATAAAACCCTGGTGATTGTGCATGTGCCTTTCTGTAATTATCGGCAACTATTATGAATATTCTTGCCAAGCTTTTGGTTATGTTTGGACTTTTATGAAGCTGATTTTCTAACATCTTCTCTGAAGGTTTTCTTGATTGTGTCTATTTATTATGTATGTACTGAATTTTGCATGTCTATTGTAGGAGTACTTCGGACTGTTAAAAGTCTCTCCCTTGCAGCTTACAATTTTTTTGACCTGAAATTGGAGGGTTAACCTGCCATCCTCTTCTGTGCGACAGGTAACTGTGTAATCGGGCTTTTGATATATTTACGGCAGAGTAGTTATTAATTAATTATCACATGATCTGATAGGTTTTAGAGTCTTTGCGGTGATTGGATGAAGTTTTTTTCCAATTGCTTTCTTCTGCTGAATTGTCGTCACCTGTACATTATTTGTCTTTACGTGCAAATCAAACATGGGCTAATCTTTTTTATTTGGATTTGCAGTTGCAGTTGTAATATATTATGCATTATACGGCAATTGCTAATGACATAAACATTGAAAATAAGTTGTGTTCTTGCGTGTTTCGTGCTTTCACACATCTCCCTTGGACTATTAGGTGCCGGCATAAAGTTGTCTTTTTTCCAAAGGTAATTCACTATTTCTTTTCTAATGCATTGTTTAGTTGATGCATATTTTTTTGTTCTGAAACTATTTCTTTTGCTCTTATATTGATTTGAGTGAACAACTGATTTTGGCTTTGGACCAGTCGGCTCGCAGAGTTGGTTTGGTTCCGGATTTCCTCCGAGACAATTACTCTACTCTTGATTATTTCTAGGTTTTATGATTAATCAATTATATTCTTTCGTATATGGGAATTAATAGTTTTTTTTCCTGAAAAATTCAACATATATGTTATATATATAAATATATATATATATATATATATATATATATATATATATATATATATATATATATATATATATATTAACAAATGACATATCGATTGTTAAACGAAATACATATCATGTGGGGTGGTCAGAAAATCTTATTTTATGGAGTTATTATTAATTTTTTTTATTTTTGTGGAAAAATTATTATTGATTAATTAATATATTGTATATATTTAATCATGTTTATTTAAAACCATCAATATAGTAATTTTATTTTGTGCATCTATATAATGTTAGGCTGTTAGTAGTCTATTTATCATTATTGAACTGGTATGACCTTTTTCTTTAATGACACGCTAACCATATCATTTTGGTGTAATTTAATTGTTTGCTAACGGATCTAATCCTAAATGTATATTGTTAGCTTTTCTTTTGCTTAATTCATTGAGTTCTAGAAATTAAATTTGTCATTGTCATAATTATAGACAAAAAAAGAAAAATAAATATATAGTTTAGTTGGTATGACTTCATAAATTCATAGGTCACTAAATTTATAAATAATACGAATACAACAATATATATAAATTTATTACAGTATACAAAAAAATAAAATCAAATTCATATAACCTTTTCTTAGTATAATTATTAATTTGATGAATTTTTCTTTTTAAGCAGGCAATCCTGTTATCATTTCATTTCATTATTTTCAATAGGCTAAATTATGAAAAGCCTCTGGAACTGAGGTTATCATTATTTTCAATAGGCTAAATTATGAAAAGCCCCTGGAACTGAGGTTAAATTATGTAAAATGCTCCACCTATCTGTAATTATCAAAATTCTCTCGATATTTGTTCTTGTCTTGCAACGACCCCTTTACAGTGTAATTTTTCATGTAATATTTTCTACTCCATTGAATATTCCCTGAAAAATCCAATTCTACTATTCCAAACATAGAATAAATTAAAGATAGCCATGCACATATGTTTAAAAAAAAATGATAGTTTATACTAGCAATTCAGAAAGTCTAGTGATATTGCAGTGTGATGTTGCAGATATTGAGGTCGCTGCAGGAGGTATACAAGGTCACTTACATTTAAGAGACTATTATTTGAGGTAGAATTAACATTTTTCGAAAAATATATCCTAAAATAAAAAAGATTCCTATCATTTTGAGAAATATAAAAAAGATTCCTATTGGTAGGTGGGGTGTTTTTCATAATTTAGCATAAGTTAGGGGAGGTTTTCAGAATTCAACCTCTTTAATATACACAATCTCGTGAATCATGTAATCAAAAAAAAAAAAAAATTAGAAATAGTTGGAATGAAGTATAATTGTCTTTATTCGAACAAATAAGCCAAACATGTATAGCAGCAGTATCTGTAATTAACTTTTTCTAACTTGAAAATTACTTCACATTAAACATTAAAGAAGAAAGGGCCGGTAACCAACTCAGGAAAACAATATTTATTTATTAATTAATTAATTAATTAAATAAATAAAAAACTCAGAACTCTGAAACAAATATGTATGTATGACAAAGGGCAAAACAAAAAGTAATACTCCCAAACAATGGCGCCACCCGAAACTCCGACGCTCCACCCCAACAGCGGCGGTTTCTCTTCCCAAACCATGATTTTCCACAGCCTCCGCCCCACCGTTTCCCTCCCTCCTCCAACCGCATCCATTTCCGTCGCCGGCTACGTTTTCACCCTCCTCCGCCACCACTCCCCCACCCCCTCCTTCCTCGTCGACGCCGCCACGCGCCGCCGCATCCAGATCTCCGACCTCCCCGACCTCGTCCGAACCCTCTCCCAAAACCTCCGCCGGAAATTCAACCTATCGAAGAACGACGTCGCTTTCGTCATCTCCCCGAACTCGATCCACATCCCCGTACTCTACCTCTCTCTCCTCTCCCTCGGCGTCGTCGTCTCTCCTTCAAACCCCCTCAGCACAGCCTCCGACATTTCCCGCCAAATCCACGTCAGCAATCCGGCTATCGCCTTCGCCACCTCCGACACCGCCTCCAGGCTGCCGGCGCTGCGCGAGGGCACGGTCCTCCTCGATTCCCCCGAATTCGAATCGCTTCTGCTCCAATTCCAAAACGACGGCGACGGATTCGCCCGAATCGAGGTTTTCCAGAACGACGCCGCCGCGATCCTGTACTCGTCGGGGACGACGGGGAGGGTCAAGGGGGTGGAGCTCACGCACGGGAATTTCATCGCCGCCATCGCCGGAGTGCATGTGGCCCGTCCGGTTCGGCCGTTTCCTCCGGTGACGTTCTGTGCGGTTCCTTTATTTCACGTCTACGGCTTCGGGCTGTGCATTAGGGAGGTTGCCCTAGGTGGGAGCGTGGTGGTGGTGGCGGCGGCGGCTGGGATGAATTTAGAGTCCATTTTCGGAGCTGTTGAGGAGTTCAAGGTGACGCACTTGGCCGTGGCGCCGCCTTCGGTGGTGGCGATGGCGAAGAGTGCAGCGGCGGAGAAGTACGATTTGAAGTCCTTAGAGGCGGTGCTGTGCGGCGGCGCTGCACTGGCGAATTCGGTGATTGAGAGGTTCAATCGAAGGTTTTCCGATGTGTCTATACTGCAGGTTTAATTTGTTGCCAATTACTAATTAAAATGAATTCTCAATTCCAATTATACCCCTAATAAAAAAATACAACATAATATAATATATATTATTATAATATAATTCTTCTAAATGTATTTTCAGAAAATTGAAGCGTAAATTATTGATTTCGAAATACAATTATTATATTATATTTTATTTTTATTTAGTATATTTATTCACATGACCGTTCCTGAGATTTTAGGGGCCCTAGGTGAGATTTGAAAACAGTAAAAAAATGGGCCCCTCTAAAATATAATATATAACTCATTTGTTTTAAAAAAACGTGATAAACTCGATGCTAACTCGTTTTTGTAAGGTATATAGCCAATACAAGACTAAAAATTTGTGATATTGTGGGTTAAAGTTTGCGGGGGTTCGAGGGCAGCGCCCCCGATTTTTTTGAGAATAATTTGCATGAAGTAGCACTAAAACTAATGAATGTATATAAAAAAAATAACTAATACTAAATTTAATAATTAGGGGGCCCATAATTAGAAAAAATTATAGAAACAAGTAATAATGGTTGATTTATATCTATTTATAAATTAGGGTTCTCAATAATTATATATATAATATAGTTTTTTTTGGAATAAATGCAATATATAAAGGGTATAAAAAAAATTTGGGGGCCCTAAATTTTTTAAAAAATCCGGGGCCCTAGGCGACCGCCTACTTCGCTTCCCACCAGAACCGGCCCTGTTTATTCAATTATTATCAACCCAATCAAAAAAACTGTTATTCGTATTTTGTTATATAAATCACATGCAATTGTAACATTGTTTTCGGGAAATTAGATTTGCTACCTGGTTATTTACACTAGGTGGATTCGAACATTAGATCTACACATAATCACACACACACACCCATGTGTGTGTGTGCGTAGTGGGTAGTTATTGAATCAAATCAACGGTTCAAATCCACCGGGTGTAAATAACCAGGTGTAGAATCTAACTTCCCGTTTGTTTGCCTATGCCAACTGCAACTGCAATTCTCTTGTGGTGATATTTTACTAGGCATATGGGCTAACAGAAACAACTGGAGGAATAACTCGAACAATCGGGCTGAACGAAAGCCGTGTGACAGGTGGCAACGGTCGTCTCATGTCCAATTGCCAAGCCAAGATAGTCGATCCCGTCACCGGTCGTACCTTGCCGCCTCTCAAGCATGGCGAACTTTGGATAAAAGGCCCTTTTGTCATGAAAGGTAATAATAAAATTTTTATTTATTTATTTTAGGGGTGGCAATTTGGATCCGGTTCCATGGATCCGATTAGATCCGGTTCTGTCCATAAGGATCCAATTTAGATTAAGTCTAGTTGAAACAAACCGGATCGGATCAAGTTGATTTTTTTTTAAAACTGGATCCATGTGGATCCACTTTAGATCCATTGAAAGTTTAACTACAAAATAAAGTGGATCATATTGGATCCAACCAAAACCCAATTAAATACCAAAACAATTTTCTCACAAAAAAAAGTCAAATATTATTTTAATTAAAAGTTTAATTGATAAAAAATTATCAATGAGTATATTAATAAAAACTGTGTGTGTATGTGAGTGTGTGTGTGTGTGAAGAAACTGTGTGTGTATGTGAGTGTCTTTGTATGTGTAAAACAGTGTGTGTGTGTGTGTGTGTAAAACAGAGAGTGTGTGTGTGTGTATGTGAGTGTGTGTGTGTGTATATATATATATGTGAGTGTGTGTGTGTGTATATATATAGAAACAGATAGTGTGTATGTGTATGTGTGTGTGTGTGTGTGTTTTTGAAGAGTGTGTGTGTGTGTGTGTAAAACAGAGTGTGTGTGTGTGTGTATATATATATATATATATATATATATATATATATATATATATATAGAAACAGATAGTGTGTATGTGTATGTGTATGTGTGTGTGTGTGTATGCGATTGTGTGTGTGTGTGTGTGTAAAACAGAGAGTGTGTGTGTGTGTATATATATATATATATATATATATATATATAAACAAATAGTGTGTAATGTGTACTGTGTAGTGTCTACTGTGTGTTTTTGTGTCTGTGTGTGTTTCTTCAATATGGCAAAAATATTTTATAGTTTCTGCAGTTTATTATAAAAAAAAAAATTATGAATTTTTATGAATCATTTTTTATATATTTGCATAAATAAACAGTGTGTGTGTGAAGAGTGTGTGTGTGAATATGTGTAATTGTGAAACGAGTGTGTGTGTGTGTGAAGAGTGTGTGTGTGAATATGTGTAATTGTGAAACTTGAGATATTAAACCACATAAGTTGAGATATTAAACTCTAAAAGTTGAGATATTCAACCTCATAAGTTGAATTAAAGATGCAACGAATCCATGTGGATCCAATCCGGATCGGTCTAAACTCAATCCACATTAAATTCATTCATCTAGGTTGATATTGGATCCGGTTCCTTTTGAATCCGATCCACATGGATCCGGATCCGATCCGGTCCAAGTTGAGAAATCGCCACCCCTAATTTATTTATTGTTCACATTTTTTTCCAATTAGTGAATGTTTGTGTAGATAAATTGATTGATTCATTAACATTAGGATTTTATTATTAATTAATTAATTAATTGATTTAGGGTATGTGGGAGATAAAGAAGCAACTGAAGCAATGGTTGATTCTGAAGGATGGTTAAGAAGTGGTGATATTTGTTATTTCAACACTGAAGGATTCTTGTTCTTTGTTGATAGGATGAAGGAATTGATTAAATACAAAGGCTACCAGGTTATATTATATTATTATCTGCTTTAATTTAAAAAAAAAAGAAAAAGAAAAATCGTAACAATCTCGTGTTCGTGTTACCTAATAGGTTGCTCCAGCAGAGCTGGAAGATCTTCTGCTATCGCATCCAGCCATTGTCGATGCAGCGGTGATCCCGTAATTATTTTTTTATTTAATTATTTGAGATTTTTTATATAATGAAAAAACAATTAATTCAAACAAGAAATGTTTCTTGCAGGTATCCCGACGAAAATGCAGGTCAAGTACCCGCAGCCTTTGTCGTAAGACAACCGGGAAGCAATGTAACTAAATCGGAGATCATGGATTTTGTTGCACAACAGGTAATTAAAAAATACAATCGTTCGAAATTATAGTATATAATCAATCATTCACGACTTATGCCAAAGACGTGTGATAATTATTTATATTATAGTGGCTCCGTTACAAAATTAAGCGCGTCTTTTTACATTGACTTGATACCAAAGAATGCTGCAGGTAAAGTACTCCGGAAGAATTAATCAAGTTAGCATCAGGCATTGCTTCCAAGTTGTAACGGTCCTCGTTTTAACGAAAAAAACGAAACGCATTTATTTTACGTTGATAAAGATTCTATTTGTTTGAGTTATAGCAATATCTACCTTTTGAAGCATAGTATTCGTAGATACGATACGAATTGAATAATCAAGAAAATCCAACCTCTTGATAACAAAGTGGCTGAATAGCATTCAAGAATCGGAGTATCGAGTTTTTATCCTCAATTCTGCTGTAAAATAATTGCCCATACAAAGGCCATAAATCGACATTGAATTCCAAAAGAAAAGAAGAAAAAAAAGAGATATAGGAAAAAGCGGGCCCCGTTCAAATGGAAATGCTGTTGGGAATACCACGCCCCGTCACGCCGGGCGAAGAAGAAGGTAAAAGCAACTCATACGGAGGAACACCAGCCCCGTTTCGATTCTTCAGCTCGACATTTTTATTTCTCTGATGGATAATTCTTTCGATCTCTTCCAACTTAACAGAGAAATCCTCGAACAGTTTTTGAACTTCCGAGTCGTTGAAAGCGAGCCTGTGAATATGGTGCAGCTGGTTTATGTACTCCTCGTCAGCCGAATGGGTCGACAGGGTGTCTTGCACAGCCATAACTTTCGTCGCCTGTAGCTTAGTTGGCAGAGAAGTCAAGAAAGTCAACTCAGGGTTCTGCAGAAACTTCTCGTATTCCGGATCGCCCACACGAGGGATTAATTTACGCATGAGTGTGGGTCGGTTTGGCGGGTAACCGCCGAACGGGTATTGACCGAAGTTTATGGCTGCGTGTTGACCGGAGCCAGTCCATATCATGGTTGTGAGTATCTTCGATAAGTCGTCTTGGGTTTCGAGATTAGGCCACCATGGCTCGTTTCTCTTGTCGTGGTGGCCCACGTTCTTGATTTCGTCCCACCAGGCTTGGAGCTCAGGGTCGGATGAGATGGAGTTAGGTTCGGAGTAGTAGTGGTCGACGTATGATTCCACGAGCTCTTTAATGGCGGACCATACGAGAAGTGCGTCCGCTGCGTATGGGTAGTCTTCGATCACGAGCTTGACTCCACCTGGCACCGATGGATCTTCAACACCCACACCCCTGCAAAACAAAAAAAAAAAATTGCAATATTATATACTGAAAAAAAGTTCTATGTAAAATACCGGGAGATATGTTACCTTCGAATTAAATCTGCAGGTAGTGATTCCATGTCGAACCGCCACAAGCTCTTATAGGCGGCGGAGCTTACTTCCATGGCGTACTTTCCGGGGCTGAAACATGCCTCGATAATCCCACCTCCGTTTATCAAACTCTGCCTCGCGAGCGCGTTGATTTCCATCGTGTACCGCATGTGCGGGTGTAGTAGTTTGTACACCGGGTGCATCGAGCTTAGCTGCCTATGTGTCGCGATTATATAAGGCTCCATACACGCATGAGTCTTCAGCCTACCAAAAAAAAAAGAAAAATTAAATTGTGCGCCGAAAGATTTAAATCGAGGCTGGTATTAATTAATATTATATTGTATTACCAGTGGTTGACGAGTTGGTGGACCCCAGCATCGTTCGAGCAGACATGAGCTTTAGCGAGCTTCCATGTCCAGTGAGTTGTGGCGTCGTGGCCGTGTGTGAACACAAACTTGTTCCTCGGAGAAGAATCTGTCGGAGGAAGTGAAAGCTCGATTACGATTGGTCGGAGAATACCGTTTTCGCCGTAGTAGAATACGGTTCTTGATGCATAAGCTTTTCTATCGGGCAACGCGTTCATTTTCTCAATGAAGGGCAGAAGTAAGTCGTGGTAGTCTAGTATAAACAGCTTCTTGTCCTTAATTGCCTGCGGAAAAAAAAAACGTGTAAAACATTAATTACGTATGTGGATCAATTTTTTTTATGATGTGATTGATTAATTAATTACCTCTTCGACGTTGATCCCGTTGAGCTCTTTCGCTAATAACTCCCTCGTGATTGCAGACTCTGGTGGACCGTATATTGCAGGATCTAATTCGCTTACAATCGGAAGTTCCTGCAAAATTTATTACAGCAGATTCTCCATCAACAGCTGCTAGATAATAATAATAATAAACAAGATAATTAATCCAACTCGTTTTTCAACGAGATTAAAAAGATCCCACCTTTAGTAGCTCGATGTTCACGGGGTTGACACCGGCCAACATCTGACGAGCGAACTCGTTATCCCTCAGCCATGCGAATCTATCACCTGAAACAAAAGACGAGACGACAAACGAGCACGTTATATATTCTTGCAGCAGAGTTTTAAGAAAAAGAAAAAAAAAATATTTAGAGAGCGATGCTTACGCTTAATAATGGCGGGTAGATCGTACTTGAGCAACCTGTCACCGACCGTAAACATCTGTTTCATCGCACTCGTCAGAATCTGGTTCTTCCTGCCGTCTTTACGGTCTTCGTCTATCAACAGAAAACCATCCTTGTACAAATTATCTATGTCCGCGAAATTCGTGAACGGAATATCGGATTTCGACAAAGTCGCGGCGATCAACGGCACCAAGTTGTGCAGCACGGCTTTCAAACGTCCGGCCGAAAACGTGTTCTGCTTAACCTCCTCGAACGTTTCATCTCGGGGAACATAAACCGGGTGCGGCTTCTCGATTCTTGTCTCCGTGTTGGGATCTTTGATTCAATTTTTTCAGACAGGCATTTTCGTTATTAGGACATCGAAAGTGCATATTCGACAGGATATTGATTAAACATGCAATGGATTATTTATTTATTACCTGTTCTAGTAGGAGGTCTACCGGTACGAATTCTCCTAGGGTAAGGCCTCTCGTCGGTTCCCAACACCGGTCGGACTAGGCCTTCGTTTTTATCGGGATTGCCCAAGTCATTGTAGAGGTCGTAATCGTAGATTCTCTCGTGCAGCTTCCTAGATTCTTTCCCGTCGCCACGGAGGCGCGACAGGTCATCGTGGCGCAGATTCTCGATCCCGGGTGGGGTTTGAGAAGGAAGAGATGCCTGATTCTTGAATACGATTCTCGACTGAGGGTTATCTTTAACCGAATGAATCCAAGTGTCTGCCCAAAAGAATATGGGGCCATTGCTGAAACCATGTACAACAATCTCCATCAAGAAGAACTCCTTGTCGTGGAAATTGGTGACGAGGATCGCGCCCGGCTGCCCGAAATCTTGCGGGACCGCCACGTCAGCGCCGTACTGGACGACGTTGGGGCTGCCGGATAGTTTCGGCAACCAACCCCTCACAAAAGACTCTGCAATCTTCCCTGATTTGGTAACTAACAAAACAATAAAATAAAATTAAAACTCATTTAATTTGTGAGATATAGCAATACTACTTTCAAGAATGCACAATCACATAACCGAAACCGAAACCGAAACCGAAACCGAAACCGAAACCGAAACCGAAACCGAAACCGAAACCAAAACCAAAACCGAGTCATGAATATATAAAGGAAAGTCAACTCTATCAACATAAAGGCAAAAAACACCAACAAATTTCACAGGGAAAAAAGAAATAATAATTATTACCAGGATCAATAATATCTTGACTGATGAGCTGAATCAAGATTCCTTTGCCGATTCCATTGATGAAAGATTCCCATTGGTCCTCAAACTTTTCGATAAGCTTTTCCTTCATCTTCTTCCTTATTGTGATCACTGCTCTCACATTTAAAGAAGATGAAGATGAAACCACTGATCCATTGTTCTCAATAAATTTCTGATCAGCTGCTATTTCCACTCCAGTCTTGCTATCTCCACTACTGATCAATGCTCTTACCCCACCCCTCACCAGCCTTGGCCGGAAACTGGCTGATTTTCCGGTGAGTAGGCGGTGTTTTCCGGCGCCGGAGATGGGCTCCGGCCGCCGGAGTGAGGTGGGTGTTGGGTGAGATGTGAGCATTTCTGTGGCAGCTGGAATTGCAAAGTCAAAGAAACTGCAAATGGGAGTATTATGTATAGAGAGAGAGAGTATGGGGGCTAGAGAGTACTTTGTTTAAATTATTATTATTGTTATTATTATTATTATTATTATTATTATTATTATTATTATTATTATTATTATTATTATTATTATTATTATTATTATTATTATTATTATTATTATAAGGTTAAATTACAACCACACCCCTGAGTTATGGTCAAATTACGAGAAACCCCCTGTTGTTTGGGTAATTACAGTCACCCATCAATTATAAATCTTTTTACATATCCTTGCGGCTTCAAATTTAGTGGAATTTTCTAAATTATATGGAATATTCTCAATTTTGTAACCGTTTTGTCCCATTTGACTCCACATTTTGAAGCAGTATGATCATAAAATGTGATTTTCACTTTTATATATATATATCAGATTGTAGGGCATCAAAAACTGTATTTTTGCACCAAACGAGTACAAATTAGAGCAGAATCTAGATGATTATGTTGAATTTGACACCATAAGGGTGGAGGTGTAAGAAAAAATCATACTTAAGGGAGGTAAATGTAATTATCCAAACAAGAGGGGTTTTTTCGTAAATTAACTGTAACTCAGGGGTGGTTGTAATTTATCTTTATTATAATAATATAAACGCAAAGAGTGTGAATTATTTCACATGTTTAAAATATTGCGAAAATATATTGAAGAAAGTAAACTATTGTTTTTCATTGGATAATGTGTGTGTGTGTGTGTGTTGTGTGTGGCATGTGGAGTCAATTTTGATCGGATATAGACAATAATCATCAATAGAGAGTACGAGATTTAAATGTTTGCCTGAATTGACCGGTTTGAAAAACAAGTGTTTGGACAAAAATTAAAAAGGAGCAAAGTTAATTACACAAGTTAGGATTGGCAAAAGTAATGTTAGGAAAAATTGGGTGTTACCCAACTTTAATTAATTATTTATTAAAAATTTGGTGGGAATTTTCAAGGCTGCTTTTTTTTTTTTTTTTTTTTTTTTTTGTTGCCAAATGATGGATGGAGTTTTTCACCGTAAAAATCATGATATTTTACGTCTACAAATCTCAAACGTAAAAATAAATTTCTCAGGAAAATATTAAAACAAAGACCACAGAGATAATTGGAAAATTTGATTTAACTTCTAAATCGAAATGTGAGGAAGATAAAAGTCGACAATAATGACTTGGTCACACTAACATGCTCGTTCCTAGAAATCGATTGTCTAGGCGAATATTAAAAATTCATAAGAATACGACCCTATTATATAATGTACACATGATTTTCCTCTTACAAGCACGACTGGATTTTTTTACTAGGATCGGAGTTGAAAACTTTGGAGATATATAACTAAAATATTGATGAAGTTCGCAAGATAAATATATGTAAAATTTGTTTAAATATAGGAAACATCACATATAGGCCCATATGGCGTTCTTTGAAGTGGTATTTATTGCCTATAAATTGAAGGAGAATTCGGTTAGTTCAACAATCAATTTTTGAGAGTTTTATTAATGCACTGTTCTTCTTTAAATTCTGGCAATGTTTTATTATTTGTTCAAATTCGTCGTGGGTTAAATTTTTAGAGCGAATATTCAACAACTACCAGATGTAGCTTGGATGCTACCTGGAGGAGCATGTTGCACGGTAGATAATCCAAAAATATTGTCTTAAGGATATTGCAATTCCAACTCTAAGTCAATTATCACGTGTTTTAGCTTAATTACTTACTAATTTCATATTAATAATAGGGCAAATGGCAAAAAGGCCCATCACATGGGACTTAAATGCATTTTGGTCTACAAAAAAAAAACAGTCTGTCAATTAAGCCCATCCTCATGTCTTTAGTCTAAAATACCCTCAATAATATAATTCTTATCAATTCCACCCATTATGATCTAACTTCCTTAATATTACACATTGACCCCGGATTTAAACAAATATATCACATTAACCCCCAAAACTTTTTTTTTCAGAAAATAATTTTTTTTCTCAAATGTTTTTTTTCCGGCCAGATTCCGGGGTTGACTTTTTTTTTTTTTTTTTTTTTGAAATTTTTTTTTCCTGTCCGGTCGGTCAACCACTGTTGACCGTTGACCGCCGGTCTCCAGCGTTGACTTTTGTTTGTTTTTTTTTTAATTGTCTTTCTTAGAAAAAAATATTTTAATTAATATTACTGTCTTGGCTACTAAATTACTGTCCCAGACAGTAATATTACTGTTTGGGACAGTAATATTATGAATATTATTTTTCCGAACAGTAATATTATTAATATTATTGTCTAAGACAGTTAAATTACTGTTGGAGACAGTAATTTAACATCCAATGCAGTAATATTAATTAAAATAATTTTTTTAAGGAAAAAAAATTAAACAAAAAAAAAGTCAATTAACAGTTAATTTACTGTCTTCGACAGTTAAATAACTGCCGGAGACAGTAATTTAGCAATGAATACAGTAATATTAATTAAAAATATTTGTTTTAAGAATAAAAAAGTCAACTAACAGTTAAATTACTGTCTCCGACAGTTAAATAACTGCTGGAGACAGTAATTTAGCAACGAATACAGTAATATTAATTAAAATATTTTTGAAGAAAAAAAAAATTCAATTAACAGTTAATTTACTGTCTCCGACAGTTAAATAACTGCCGGAGACAGTAATTTAGCAGCCAAGACAGTAATATTAATTAAATATTTTTTTAAGAAAAAAAATTATATAAAAAAAAAGGTCAACGCCGGAGACCCGGCGGTCAACGGCAGTTGACCGGCCGAATAAAAAATTTCAGGAAAAAAAAAATTTCAAAAAAAAAAAAAAAAAAAAGTCAACGGCGGCGACCGGCGGTCTCCGGTGGTGGCGGGTCAAAATTGGGGTCAAAATTGAAATTATGGTTAAAATTGGTTAATTGATGAAATTGGGCTAAATTGTGGTGTAAATCATGAAATTGGAGTTAAATTGGGTTTCAATAAAAAGATTTTCCTTATTTGCAAATAAGTTTGAATGGGTTGTATTTATTTGAAAGACAAAAAAAGTTGGATGTCCCTCTTTTAATTAAGTGCCCTTGTCATGGGCCTATTTGCCAGTAACCCATAAACAAAAAATCAAAAACAAAAAAAATTAAAAATTGGAGTCTGTTGTAAATAATATGTGTGTGGGGTTTCCTAACATGACCACCCAACTCCCAACTCCCCACTAGATCATTACCCTACCACATGTCTTTCCATTTGTGTTAGTAGTAGAGTAACTTCCTTTGTAACTTCTCTTGTAACTCCCGCTGGTTTTTTCACCTATATAATGGAAATCTACCTCCGCCAATATTACACCCTTATTAATCTCTCTACGGATTTTTGTCTTTGTATTCTCTCTTTCTATATTATATTATTGTTGTCATACTTTATTTTCCACAAAATCATCAAACCGAAGAGCAATACCATTAGGGCGATTTACAACACATTACCAGCACGATTTGCTCGCGGTGATCGTGGAAGAACAATTGTTCGTGGGGCTAGAATACTTGGAGAAATTGTGAGCGTGGTTCGTTTGTAAAACGGTGATCTACTTTCGTAGAACGTATAATCTTCTCTGTAATATTTTTTCAAGTAAGCCTTAACCCCTTGAAATTCTTTATTATATGAACAGCATCCTAGATAAATTTGAAATATCATGAAATATATGAAGAATATGAGATCTCGTCATTATTTATCATATTAATATCATTACTACGTGTACTATGCATATCCTGAAATATGCCATGTTTTTCAATATATATAATACTTTAATATTTCATGTAATGATTGTATGTGGACATACAATACGAAAAACTTGAATATATGTCAATATGCATGATTATTTATTTGTGATTACTGTAAGATATTGATATATGGCCAAAAATATTGATTATCTTTTTAGAATTGTCAGTATATTATAATGTCTTGCTCACTATCCTCATGATTTCGAAAATTTGTCTTACCTGATGCAATAAGCACTATGAATATTTTGCGTACATGTTTGGACATTTAATGTTATTTGACCAGTGAATAAAATCATCCATGTAAATATTCTGTGTGCATGAAAACAATCGATTTGCCTAATAATCATGAATTGTTTGAAATATTTTTGAAATAGATATGAATTCTATGCGAATCATATATGCTATATGTAGTTGTATCACGTCATATGCAAATTTCATGACATAAAAGTAATACACAATAATTTGATTCGCATGTATACTTTGTCTATGTATGATAGGATGGAACATTTGAGCAAACTTGATTTCACCCCTTTGAATGTATCTGGTGAGAACTACGTGAGTTGGACAATGGATGTTAAGATCCATCTCACTAGTAAGAAACTGAGGATGGCTATTGTTAAAGAAAATCTGATTAACGAAGCCCAGAAGGCTGAAGCTATGATTCTGATTAGGAGGCACTTAGATGAGGTCCTCCGTTTGGACTACTCATCGATTGAGGATCCCCAAATACTATGGGATGCCCTGGCTAGTCGATTTGATCACCAAAAGACAATCCTCTTGCCTGAAGCAAGAAACAAATGGATTCACTTACGGTTTATGGACTTCAAAATCGTTAACGAGTATAACTCTGAAGTATGTCACATCAAATCCACCCGGAGTTTTGTGGAGAGAAACTAACTGATGCTGAGATTCTGGAAAAGACGTACTCTACATTCCCTGCCTCACATATGATACTGTCTCAACAGTACAGGGCCAAGAACTATACTCAGTTTTCAGAGTTGGTCACAGTTCTGCTCCTCGCCGAGAAGAACCTTGATCTTCTTTTGAAGAACAACCAGGCTCGAACAAGTTGTACTAAACCTTTGCCAGAAGCAAATTTGGTCAATCGAAATCCTCAACCTTTGCCAGAAGCAAATTTGGTCAACAGGAACAATCGTGGTGGAGGCAGAGGCCGTGGGTTCAATCGTCGAGTGAGGGGACGGGGTAATAGGGGCGGACATGTTCCTTATAATAGGCCACCTAATGGTCCCTCACAGTATGGGCAAAGGGGGAATATGCCAAGAGGAGGTAACAATGCTCGACCTAGAGGTGCGCAGCAGAATAGAGCCCCGAATCAGAATCAAAATCAGAATAGAGATACATGTCATAGGTGTGGTGGAACTGGGCATTGGTCACGCACCTGTCGTGCGAGGAACATTATGGATTGTGGTGTAAATAACAATGCACCACCGGAGACCAACTTGGTTGAGATAGATGTTCTCAATGAGGAGCCCATTACTCGACTCCCAAATCTGGGCACATCTAACCCAATAACCCAGTTTGGAATATGATTAGAGTGTGATTTTATGAGCTTAAACATTATGTTCTTTTATGTTTCTAGTTTATCCGTTTTAAGTTATGTTGTTTATTTGACCATGCTTATGAACCAATTTCGTATTTGGATTATGTTTTTGTTTTATTTTCTGGACTATATTTTATGTGGTTATGTTTTAATTCAGTTTATATGGTACTTGATAGAGTTATCTTGTTTGGATTTTATTATAGTATTTTCAATTGCGGAATATATGATTAGATTTATTTATCTTTCTAGACATGGCATGTGGGGATGAATGTCTGGCAGATAGTGCGACAATGCACACTATCCTTAGGGATAAGTCATATTTTGTTAGTTTCATGTCTAGTAAGACTTCTTTGACTACTATATCAGGCACATCTAGTATGATAGATGGTTATGGTAATGCCCATATTATGTTACCTCATGGCACAATTCTGACCATTAGAGAAGCTCTTTATTCTCCACGTTCCAGTAGAACGCTGCTGAGTTTTAAAGATATTCGAGCCAATGGTTATCATGTTGAAACAACTGATGAAAAGGGGATCGAATATATGTGCATCACCTCTAACGTGTATGGCCAAAAGCGTACCTTGGAAAAATTAGAGAGACTTTCGATAGGGTTATATAGGACCAAAATTCGAGTGCCATAAGCACACCTTGTCGATTGCTAGAAGTCTAGTGATCCGAGCAAATATTTTATATGGCATGACCGACTGGGACATCCGGGTCAAAGTGTGATGCGCCGAATTATTAACACATTTATTGGGCATCCACTAACGAATAAGGATCTTGTACACAATGATAGGATATGTGTACCCTGTTCTATTGGAAAACTTGATCCTATGCCAGCTTATGCACAAACTAGTAAAGATTCTCTTGGTTTCTTGGAACGAATCCAAGGAGATATATGTGGCCCCATCTCACCACCATGTGGACCTTTTAAATATTTTTTGGTGATGGTTGATGCTTCGACTAAGTGGTCACAGGTCGATTTGTTGTCTACGAGGAATGCTGCTTATGCTAAACTCCTCTCTCAAATAATAAGATTGAGAGCACACTATCCAGATTATCCCATTAAATCTATTCGACTGGATAATGCTGCAGAGTTTACGTCGCGGTGTTTCGACGAATATTGCATGTCCTTAGGTATTGACATAGAACATCCTGTAGCACATGTTCATACCCAAAATGGCCTTGCAGAGGCATTTATTAAAAAAATACAGAGGATTGCACGAACTTTGGTAATGCGCACCAAACTTTCAATCTCTGCTTGGGGCTAGCAATATTGCATGCAGCTATGTTATTGCGATTGAGGCCCACCGCAACCCAACCATATTCTGCGTTACAGTTGGTGTCCGGAAGTACACCAAACGTTTCTCATTTACGCACATTTGGGTGTGCATTTTATGTGCCAATTGCTCCGCCACAACGGACCAAGATGGTACCTCAACATAGATTGGGCATTTATGTTGGTTATATATCACCATCTATAATACGATATTTAGAACCCTTGACAGGCGATCTCTTTACCGCTCGATTTGCAGACTGTCACTTTGATGAGACCGTCTTCCCGCCGTTAGGGGATGAAAGAACGTTCACACTAATGTTCCTGAAGAACGGCGTGAAGTCGTGTGGAATGACCCCACTGTGTCTCATCACGATCCCCCTACTTCAGTCAGAGAGTTTGAAGTACGTAGACTCATAGATATACAGAAAGTAGCCAATAATATGCCAGACTCATTCTCCGACTTAGAAAAAGTGACGAGATCTCATATACCAGCTGCAAACGTGTCTGCAAGGATAGATGTCTCAGAAGGACAAAACGTGGGAAGGCCATCAGTCCCTGCTAACCAATCATATCTCCCTGCCCAGAAGAGGGGGAGACCAATTGGATCAAAGGATTCTCATTCCCGGAAGCGGATGAATGCCCAACAGTTGAATGAGGTTAGCAATAGTAATAATGGGATCCCACCCGATCCATCTCATGAAATAGTTCCGGACTATGGATCCGTCTTGGAGACGAAATCGGGGGACACCTCGACATTAGTATCCATTCCCGAGAATAGAGAAATCTCTGTTAGTTATTCATGCATGAATGAGGTGTGGCATCGGGATGAAATAATCATCAATGATGTGTTTGCTTACACAGTAGCTACTGAAATTGTATCGAGTGATGATATTGAGCCTCGATCAATTGATGAATGTAAACAAAGGGATGATTGGCCGAATTGGGAAAAAACAATCCTGTCTGAGTTTGACTCATTGGTAAAAAGGGGAGTGTTTGGGCCGGTAGCTCCTACACCTCCTGGAGTTATACGCGTGGGATATAAATGGGTATTCATAAGGAAAATAAATGAGAAAAACGAGATTATGAGATATAAGGCTCGTCTCGTAGCACAAGGCTTTTCTCAGCGACCTGGGATTGACTTTGAGGAGACATATTCTCCTGTTATGGATGTTATTACATTCAGATATCTAGTCAGTTTGGTTGTATCAGAGGAACTAACTATGCAGCTCGTGGATGTGGTCATAGCTTATCTATATGGGGATCTAGATACGAGTATATATATGAAAGTTCCTGAAGGACTTCGATTACCCGAAGCAATTAGTTCTAGACCACGAAACACGATCTCAGTTAGGTTGAGACGATCACTTTATGGCTTGAAACAATCTGGAAGAATGTGGTATAATCGCCTAAGTGAATACTTGCTCGGAAGGGGATACGTGAACAATGATATTTGTCCTTGCGTGTTTATTAAGAAAACATGTTCTGGGTTTGTTGTAGTAGCAGTTTATGTTGATGATATGAATTTGATTGGGACTCCTGAAGAAGTCCGTAGAACAGCCCAACTCCTAAAACATGAGTTTGAGATGAAAGATCTCGGTAGGACTAATTTCTGTCTAGGACTTGAGATAGTACACCGTGCTGATGGAATTTTGGTCCATCAATCGAACTACATCCATAAGATGTTAAGACGCTTTAATATGGATAAAGCGAAACCATCGAGCACGCCTATGGTAGTCCGATCATTGGATAGGTCGAAGGATCCGTTCCGTCCTGTGGAGAGGACGAAGAAGTGTTAGCACCTGAAGTGCCGTACCTAAGTGCAATAGACGCATTATTGTACTTAGCTCAATGTACTCGACATGATACCGCATTTGCGGTAAATTTGCTAGCAAGGTTTAGCTCAGCACCAACACGCCGCCATTGGAATGGTGTAAATGACGTATTTCGTTACCTTAAGGGTTCAATAGACATGGGTTTGTTCTATCCCTATGCATCTGATACGCGTAAAACCTACGTATGAAAAACCGCAAGTGTACAGTATCGCGTTTTGTAGAATAGTGAATTCCAGATATCGATCCACAGGGAATTAAGTTCCTAAATTTACCAAGTACCGTAATTATACTATCCTAAACTTTATCTAGACGATCGAAAGGGAGGGGGATGAAGCTAAAAATAAAGAAACAATAATAAAAGCAACGGTCCGCCAGTATAAACGAGGAATTCCGACGTGTGATGGCTTCTAGGGAAAAATCCACCAATGTACTATCGATAAAGATCTACAAATTCGAATCTAATGTCAATTCTATATTCGCTAACCTAGACACTAAAATACCCTAACCCCCGTCTCCAGTGTAGTTAGAGTCTACCCACAGGTCCGACGTCTCCGTTCAGAACCTGATATTAAGAGAGCATTTAGGTCAAGTCCTTAAGGGCTACCCGAGGTGCATCACGTCTCCGTTTCCACAACCCGAGCTATGTTTTCCTAAAATCAAACGAGAAATCCTCTCTCGAGTTCATTCCCATTTACAATCAATTCAACTGTTGGCCAAACAATCGAAAGCATTTAATATAGGAAAACATAAACAGAATCAAAGAACGACAAATAAATCACAGATCTGGAAATCAAAATCAATATATACAAGGTTTCATTTCCCTAAAAGAAAATGCTTAGTTCATTACAAACATAGCATCAAAATGAAGAACACGAGAAATCATAAACTAAACGTAAAGAAAAAGCTTATGAAAAACCCGAGTCGAAACCCTCGTCGAAGCTTCCCGCGAAGAACTGGCGAGAACCGAAAAGAAAACCGAAGAAGAAGTTGAAGAAAAGTCGTAGATCCAGTCCTTTTGTGTTGAAGAGTGAGGCTTGTTCTATTTATAGTAAGGCAAAGCTTCTTGAGGAAGCTTTGCCTTTCTAGATATTTTTTACACATCCCGAGGCCATATCGCGATATGGGCATCAGTATCGGGCGATATGGTAAAATTGCAAGCTTTCTGTTTCGTTTCTCCCCATATCGCGATACAGCATGGAATATCGCGCGATATGGCAAAAATGCAAGCTCTCTGTTTCGTTTTCTGCCATATCGCGATATGGGATGTCATATCGCGATATGGTCGCTGCAATAACTTCAAACTCTGTTTTGACCCTTTTTTAGCCCGAATCGGACAATTTTGCATTTCACAAAAGTTGTAGACCTTGAAGTTAGCTTTCAAAATCCACTTGAATGAGCTCAATCGGAGGTCGTATGAAGAAGTTATGCATAAAACACCGAAGGCTGCCACCATCCACTTGATTGCAATTCTTGCTCTTGTTTGACTTGATTCTCGACTTCGCTTCCAAAATTGTCTCGAATCGGCAAAAATAGCTAAGAAAACCTAAAAATAGAAATAAAACAAGAAACGCAATAATATATACAAATATAGCCGAAACTCGTACGAACGAAGACCAAAACTCGAAGATTTGATAAGCAAAAATCGTGCAAAACGAACACTTATCACACCCTCAAACTTAGATCTTTACTCGTCCCGAGTAAATCAAAACGAAACAAAAACAAAAAGGAAATAGAAACAACAAATTAAAACTAGGCCACTAACGTAGGGAAACACGATTGCATTTAGCGTATGCAACAAGCCTTTGAACCCCTGGGTACCCCCAAAGGACGAGTTGTGTCTCGTGAGGGTTTTCAGACAACACACCCACAAAGTTG